AACTATTATCACTACTAGGAGTTCAGTAAGTGGGCCGACTTGATAGTATACTAACTCAAGAGCTTTCTATACATAGGCAGTAACAAGTTAGAAACATGATAAACATCCTATTTACAAGAACAGGAAAATATATGTGTAGGAATATAGTCACAAAAATTCGACAAATAATTACAAATTCTAAATGTATAATTCTAAATTTCTCCTAAAAGAGTAAGTACACAATTGGAGAAATGAATGAGGCCTTCTGGATAGATGGCAACACTAAGGTAAATAAAATTATGGCTGGCATTCATTCATTCATTCTTCATTCAACAATTCATTCATTCATTCATCAAGTGCCTATTATGAACCAGGCACTATGCTATCTTGGGGTAAAGTAATGAGCAAAAGTGACATAGTTTACTGCCCTGGAAGAGCTTACAGTCAGTGGAAAGAGATGTATTAGATGGCTAGAAGTGCAGGCTGTGGAGTCTAAAACTGCCTGGGGTTGAAGTCCAGCTCCACCTACTAGTTGTGTAACTGAGCAGGAGGACTGCATCTATCTTCACCTCAGTTTATTTATCTGTAAATAGGGATCACAGAATCTATCTCTTAGTGAGTTGATGGTCATTAAATTAATTAATGCATTGTAAATCAATAACCACAGTAGGTGCTCATTAAGTGCTACTTGTTATAGTTGCCATTATTATTAAATTATTATACAAATACCTCAGTATTGTTATAATACTATAAAGTATATTTTTATTAAATATAATATAAAAATAAAAATACTATTTTATTAAAATTAGACAAAGAGCCCTGGCTGGCGTGGCTCAGTTGATTGGATGTCATTCGTGCACTGAAAGGTTGCTGCTTTCATTCCCACTCAGGGCACATGCCCAGGTTGTGGGTTCAATTCCTGGTTTGGGATGTGCAGGAGGCAGCCAATCAATGTCTCTCTCACACTGATGTTTCTAACCACCCTCCCCCCCCCTTTTTTTTTTTAATCCTCACCTGAGGACATTTTTTCATTTTTTATACAGATAGAGTGGGAGGGAGAGAGAGAAAGAGAGAGAGAGAAACATCGATGTGAAAGGGACACATCGAGTGGCTGCCGCCCGCACGACCAACCAGGGCCGGGGACAAACTGCAACCGAAGTACGTGCCCTTAGCGGGAACCGAACCCGGGTCTCTCAGGACCGCAGGCCGACGCTCTAACCACTGAGCAAAACCGGCCAGGGCCCACCCTCCCCTTTTTAAAAAAAATCCTCACCCAAGGACATTTCTGCATTCATCCTCAGATAGAGAGGGAGGAAGAGAGAGAGAGAAACATTGATGTGCGAGAGACACATCAAGTGCTCGCCACCCACATGACCCCAACCAGGCCAGGGACAAACTGCAACGAAGGTACATGCCCTTAGTGGGAACTGAACCTGGGACTCTCCAGTCCGCAGGCCAACACTCTAACTGCTGAGCCAAACTGGCCAGGGCCCTCCCTCTCTGTCTAAAAAACCCCCAATAAGCCCCGGCCGGTTTGGCTCAGCGGTTAGAGTGTCAGCCTGTGGTCCAGAGAGACCAGGATTTGGTTCCCGTAAGGGCACGGACCTCGGTTGCAGTTTGTCCCCGGCCCTGCTTGTGTCGTGTGGGTGGCAGCCACTCGATGAGTACCTTTCACGTCGATGTTTCTCTCTCTCCTTCCCACTCTATCTGAATAAAAATGGGAAAATGTCCTCAGGTGAGGATAAAAAAAAAAAACAAACACAATAAAAACAGTATTTAGAAAAGTTTAAAAAAAGAAAAGAAAAACAAACAGCCCTGGCTGGTATGGCTCACTTAGTTGGTTGGGCGTTGTCCTGTGAACTGTGGGGCTGTGATTCCCATTCAGGGCACATGCCTGGGTATCAGGCTCAATTCTGGACAGGGGACTCCATCCTGGGTAGAGGGCATGCAGAAGGCAGCCTATTGGTGCCGTTCTTACATTGATGTTTCTTTCTCCCTCTCTCTTCCTATCTCTCTAAAAATCAATTTATTTTTATTTTATTTTTTTTTAATCCTCACCTGAGGACTTTTTTTTCCCATTTCTTTGTTCAGATAGAGTGGTGGTGGGGGGGGGGGGGAGAGGGAGAGAGAGAGAGAGAGAGAGAGAAACATCGACGTGAAAGGGACACATCGAGTGGCTGCCACCCACACAACCCAACCAGGGCCGGGCACAAACTGCAACTGAGGTACGCGCCCTTAGTGGGAACCGAAGTCGGGTCTCTCTGGACTGTAGGCCGACACTCTAACCGCTGAGCCAAACCGGCCAGGGCTCTCTAAAAATCAATTTAGAAGATCTTTAGAAAAACCAAAACAAATTCTTTCCTACATAGATGGCTGGAGTAAATTATATAAGTATTACAATCTTTCTGAATAGCAGTGTGACAAAAAGAATCAAAGCCCTAAAAATGTACATAACCTCTGAACCTCTAATTTCACTTTAAAAAATGTTTTTTATCCTCACCCGAGGACATTTTTTCCATTTTTTGTTCAGATAGAGTAGGAGGGAGAGAGGGGAAGAGAACGAGAGAGAGAAACATCGACATGAAAGGGACACATCAAGTGGCTGCCACCCGCACAACCCAACCAGAGCCAGGGACAAACTGCAACCGAAGTATGCACCCTTAGCGGGAACCAAACCCGAGTCTCTCTGGACCGCAGGCCGATGCTCCAACTGCCAAGCCAAACTGGCCAGAGCTCTAATTTCACTTTTAGCAGTTTATCCCAAAGAATATCCTAAAGAAGTTAGGAAATAATTAAGGATACAAAAAAAATTTTTTTTTCTTTATTGATTTTAGAGAGAGAGGAACGGAGAGGGAAAGAAAGATAGAAACATCAACGAGAGAGAACATCGGTTGGCCGCCTCCTGCATGTCCCCCAATGAGGATCTGGCCCACAACCTGGGCATGTGCCCTAACCAGGAATCCAACTGGCGACCTCCTGGTGCATGGGTTGATGCTCAACCACTGAGCCACACTGGCCAGGCAGGATATAGAAATTTTATGTAAAAGTAAGTTAAATCTAAAACAAACAAACAAACAAAGTTAAATCTAAAAGGAAGCATTGTTTATAACAGCAAAATATTTGAAACAACTTAAACAGAGGATTGATTAGAGTGAGATACTTTAATGAATGAATTTTACGTAGCTGTTAAAACTGTATTCACAATAGCCAAAAGGTTGAAGCAACCCAAGTGTCCATCAACAGATGAATAGATAAACAAAATGTGGTATATAATGGAATATTATTCAGCCTTAAAAAGGGAAGAAATTTTGACACTTGCTACAACATTGATGTTGAGATTATGCTAACTAAAGTAAGCTAGTTACAAAAGGAAAAATACTATCTGATTATATTTAATATGAGGTACCTAGAATAGTCAAATCCAACAAGAGAGTAGAATGGTCGTTGCCAGAGGCTAGGAGGAGGCAGAGTAGGGAATCAGTGTTGTTTTCTTTCTTTCTTTTCTTTGTACGTGCCCTTAGTGAGAACCAAACCCGGGACTCTATGGTCTGCAGGCCGATGCTCCAACCATTAAGCCAAACCAGCCAGCGCAGGAAATTAGTGTTTAATGGGTATAGTTTCAGTTAAAAAAGATGAAAAAGTTCTGGAGATGGATGGTGGTGATGGTTGCACAAAAATGTGAATGTACCCTGGCCGGTTTGGCTCAGCCGTTAGAGTGTTGGCTCGTGGACCAGAGAGTCCCGGGTTTGGTTCCCACTAAGGGCATATACCTCGGTTGCAGTTTGTCCCGGGCTGTGTGGGTGGCAGCCACTTGATGTGTCTCTTTCACATCGATGTTTCTCTCTCTCTCTCTGCCTCTCTCTCTATCTGAAAATAAAATGCAAAAATGTCCTCAGGTGAGGATGAAAACACACACACACACACACACACACACACACACACACACACACACAAAATAATGTGGCCCTGGTCAGTTTGGCTGAGCAGTTGGAGAGTTGGCATGTGGATTAGAGAGTCCTGGGTTCGGTTCCTGCTAGGGGCACGTACCAAAACAAAAAACAAAAACAATGTGAATGTACTTAATGTCAGAGAACTTAAAAACTTAAAAATGGTTAAAATGGGTCAGTGTGGCTCAGTGGTTGAGCATGGACCCATGCACCAAGAGGTCACCAGTTCGATTCCCGGTCAGTACACATGTCCAGGTTGTGGGCCTGATCCCCAGTGGGGAGCATGCAGGAGGCGGCCAATCGATGTTCTCTGTCTTCAATATTTCTATCTTTCTCTCCTGTTCCCTTCCTCTCTCTAAAAAACCAATAAAGAAAAAAATGTTTAAAAAAAATGGTTAAAATGGTAAATTTTATATTATGTATGTTTTAGAACAATAAAAAAAGTTAAATAAAGTTGAAGATAGACATCAAAAGCTGTTCATTATATATTTTTAAGTGAAAAGGCAGCTGAGGTATGATCCCATTTTTTAGAAACTTTATGCACAGAAAAGAGTCTGAAAAGGTTGACACCAAAATCTTAATGGTGATGCTGTCTATGGTGGGTGGGATTACAGGTGTTTTTTATTTTTCTTCTTTATAAAATCTATGATTCCTCTATAATGAACATGTATTACTTCTAGAATTTTATTTTTATTTAAAAAAATTTTTTTTATTGATTTTAGGGGGAGAGGAAGAAGGGAGAGAGAGAGAGAAACATCGATGAGAGCGAACATCAATTGGCCGCTTCCTGCACACCTCCTACCGGGGATTGGACCCTCATCGGGAACCGAACTGGCGATCTCTTGGTACATGGGTTGATGCTCAAGCACTGAGCCACACCAGCTGGGCATGTCTATAATTTTATTTTTAAAGCACTGGATCAAATGAAACAAAATGCCTTATCCCATGATTACCTTTACAAGATGACTAAATGTACCTTCTTTGTCTAAGGTCAAGATCCAAAATCTAGGACAATGTATTGCACATAGTTGACTTTCACAGGAAGATGCACTATTGTAATCAGTAGTCACTTACCAACTTTGAGAAAAGTTTTCAGTTCCAAGGGTCGCAGTACTGGTTGCTTTTCTATACGGCCATAGGTTTCTGCGATGCTCTCTACTTCCACTTTAGGGCATTTAAATAACTCATAAGTCCCATCCCGGTTCTGGATAAAACTACGGGTAATTTCCAAGGGCATCTGGACACATAGACAATACCAAGAAAGGTGAGAAAGAAAAATTTTCAAAGCACCTGGATGAGAATAGATCTTTTACATATTCATTGTTACTTATTAAGCACATTCAAATTAATTAAAACTTCCCCTTGTATTTTCTTCTTTTTTTCTCCATGTATTTTCAACTAAATTCTGTCAACAAATCTGCCTTTTTATTCCTTACACCACCCATGGCTTGGCTTTCCTTTTTTCTCTATAACTTTAATTTGAACCCCAGCCAAACCATACTGAACTGAAACCCTAACATCTTTCTTCATGGCTACATGACCATTACTGGCACAGACCTGCTCTAAAATTGTTTTTTGTTTTCTTCCCCTACTTCTCTGCTAGAGCATTCTCCTAAAAACATTATTGATAGCACCTCAAGCTGACCTCACCATACTGTATGCTTCACACCATTCTTGTGACTGAGCCAGACAGAACTTGAACTGAATTTGTCTTTGCCACTAACCAGCAGGGTGAGCTTCTCACAGCCTGTTTCTCATATGCAAAATACATGAGGTGATACAGGTAAATAATGCCCAACAGACAGAAGCTCAATGATTATTAGCTTTCTTCCCTCACTTGCCTTTGCTCTGGGTTGCTCACTGCCTCCCTAAACAACACTTGTTCCAGGCTGGAAGCTGGCTCTGTGATATCTTGCATTTAAGGAAGTTCCTCAAATGTCTTTAGTGCTAACATAGGCTTTCTCTAGGGTTCACATTAAGTTCTATAGCTACCAGGCAATTCATTCTTTTTCTGAACATAACAATGTCTTGAAATTAAGCTACTCTTAGTGCATCAAATTACATGATACTGAATTTTCAACAATATTCCATTATTGTATGAAGGGAAAATCCTCAAATTTTCAGAGTCTGCTGGAAAAAAAATGTTTAAAAATATCTAATATTTCCCTTGTGAAAAAGAACACAAACTCAAGGTCATTTCGCTAATGAGAACTAAATTGCAGTTTGGGGAAGAGTGTTTAATTGTGCTGGGCCCACTAATTTCACAAATAGTATATTATCATCTCAAATTTTATATATATATATAAGATATATATATATAATTTTTTTAAATCCTCACCTGAGGATATTTTTCCACTGATTTTTCAGATAGAGTGGGAGGGAAGGTAGGAGGGAGGGAGGGAGACAGAGAGAGAGAGAGAAGAGAGAGAGAGAGAGAAGAGAGAGAGAGAAACATCGATGTGAGAGACACACATTGATTGGTTGCCTCCTGCATGACCCCAACCAGGGCTGGGGATTGAACTGCAATTGAGGCACCTGCCCTTGACCAGAATCAAACCCGAGACTTTGGTCTTTGGGCCAACGCTCTAACCACTGAGAAAAACTGGCCAGGGCTATTTATATATATTTTTAGCTGCCTACCAGTTAATCTAGGGCTCACCATAGCTAGTAGGTGATCATTATTTAATTTACAGAGAAAATCATTGCTGTTTTCTGATTCCAAGTTAAAGAAAAAGACCACTCCAATTTAAGATACTTTTTCAAGCTCTAGGGAATACCCATTAAAATTAGAGTCAGCACTATAAAGCCATGCATGTTTCTGAATAATCTCTTAATATGAAAAAAAAAAAAAAGAATTCTCTTTGGTGTCTATGACTTTAAGAACTGGTACAAACATACTTCCTGCATTTGCTTCCCTCTCTTTCCCTTTCTGCCCTCCCATATTGCAGAAATAAACTCTTACCTCAGGAGTATCTAAGATTTGTTTAACTTGCAGGATATTAGTGATATGCCAAGTATACTTGGAAAACGTTCCCAGTGGCAAGGCATCTTTTCGAACAAAAGCTTCAATGTGAAAAGGGAACAAAATTAGCCTACAAAAACATAACATCTCTTTCACTATTTGTTACCCAGTTTCTAGAGATTTCAGCGCAGTACTACTCTTTCCTTATAGAATGAATCTCAGCACATTAAAAAAAAAGAAAATTTAGAGGCAAATATATAATAGTGTTTGACATGAATGTGACAAATCAAGTGATGAAAATTTCTGCTATATGAAGTCTCTGATGCTTCTTTGAGATGCTACTTACTTCTGGTACCTTAGAAACTTGTTTCTTTGTTTGGTAAAGCTACATGCACAGGACTCTATTATAAGACAGCTTCTTATACCTCTTACAACTTTAGATATATCAGAGGTCAAATCATAGTCCTTAAAATAATTACACAAGGATTAAGCCTGCTGACATGGTTGCTAATTCATTGTCCTGACTGTAGGATTATAAAGGGGCTCCACCAAAAGTCTGCAAAACTAGCTAAGGGATGGGTTAAAATTAACATATTAGACCTAAAGTTTAAAATGGAAGAAAGAATTAACACTACTTCAAAAGTCAGGTAGATAAGCTGTGAAGACAGATTTTCATGGCTTGCATTATTCAAAAACAGAACTAAGCCTCGAACAGTCCCACAATCCCTATTATACCATTAAATAACAATTTACTGAAGAAATAGCATTGATTTCTAGCTGTAGTTACTCTTGGTCTATTGCTACTGAGCAAGTCTTTCTTCCTCCTTTTCTCTCCCTTATTTCTTTATATTTCCCAATAAGTATGTTGAGATGTCTAGTAAGAGATCTGAAAGAGTTATATGAGTTATATGAAACCAAGACATAAGTACCAGAATAATGTAATGATAAAGTGTTCCAAGCCTAAGAATAACTCTAAAAATAAAATCTTCCTGCATCAAAAATTGGGAAAATAATAACTTTTAGTTTTTTGATACAAACTGTAATATGCTTCCAAGAAGCCAGCCCAAATAATGATTAAAGTCTGCAATGCTTTTGTTAAAATTGATTCATACCTAGAAAATATCAAATTTCTTGGTAGGCACCTTCATTGTACTTCATTATTGTTCTTTTACCAAGTCTGCACTTTCTGAATTGTTCCATTAATTTGTACTGAAGTATGGGGTCACAGTGAAGTGTGTGATCATTATTCTAAGAGCTGACTGGCTAAGGCTTCATACTCTCAGCATGCAGCTAGAAGTCCCAATTCTGAAAATGCCACATGATTTTTCCAAACATAATTCTCTAAGGATAAGACATTTGTCGCTATTCCTGAAGAAAAAATCCCATACCTGTGGTGGAGTTGGGAAGCCGTTTTTTTGTACTTCCTATAGATATTCTCTGCTGTAGGGCATCAAAAAAGGACTGAGGAATATGGAACACCAGTGGCTCTGGTTTGCCTTTTGGAAATAAGAAGAAACTCATTCAGTTAAAACAGACCAACTTTTTGTGCCAGAAATGTGAGAGTTCCTTAGGTGGAGGCACAGTTATTTCAACTAAATGTGTAATGTTGAAACTGTTCATTTGCAAATTGTTATGCATATGAAAGTATCTAGCAGCTTTTGTGCAATGAATTAATGTTATAAGGAATTATCTATTTTGTCACAGTATTTAAGTCATAATGTCACTTCAGAATTCAGTTCTGTAGGATCTTTAAAAATGTATATTCTGCCCTGGCCGGTTTGGCTCAGCGGTTAGAGCATCGGCCTGCGGTCCAGAGACCCGGGTTTGGTTCCCGCTAAGGGCATGTACCTCGGTTGCAGTTTGTCCCTGGCCCTGGTTGGTCGTGTGGGTGGCAGCCACTCGATGTGTCCCTTTCACGTCGATGTTTCTCTCTCTCCCTCTCTCTTCCTCTCTCTCCCTCCCCACTCTATCTGAACAAAAAAAAGAAAAAAAGAAAAAATGTCCTCACTAAGGATTAAAAAAAAAAAATGTATGTTCTGAGGAGTTTTAATTGGTAAAAAATGTAATTGTGATTTAATACTGCATAGTGTTTTGGGTTATTTTTTTATATGTAAAGGTTTTATGAGCCAATAAAACTATCTCAAAGTTTAAAAAAAGGAGAAACTTGCCCTGGCCAGTTTGGCTCAGCGGTTACAGCATCAGCCTGCGGTCCAGAGACACCTGAGTTGGGTTCTCGCTAAGTGCATGTACCTTGGTTGTGGTTTGTCCCGGCTCTGGTTGGGTCATGCAGGAAGCAGCCACTCGATGTGTCCCTTTCACGTGGATGTTTCTCTCTCTCTCTCTCTCTTCCTCTCTCTTCTTCCCACTCTATCTGAACAAAAAATGGAAAAGTGTCTTCGGGTGAGGATAAAAAACTAATAATAATAAATAGGAGTGCAGGGGCGGAGCCGGGGCAGGGTGGGGTTAAACTAATAATAATAATAATAATAATAATAATAAGTAAAAAATAAAGTTAAAATAAAATAAAAAATAATACAAAATTTAAAAAGGAGAAACTCATATAGAGAACAACAAAGGAAAAAAATAGAGAAACTCAGTGGATTTTCTGATGTGTAGAGAGAGATGAAAGAAATGGAACTGAAGGACAGTAATAACTAAAAATACCACTTTATAAAGAGATTTCCTTATATAGAGGCAAAATGAAGGCTTTGATTGACCTTTAGAAGTTAAGTACTGTCACCAGCCCTACTCTTGATCCCTTGAAATCATAAAAAATATAGCAGACCCTTGTCATCCACCAAGGATAATTCTTTAAATCCCCAATTTTGTAAATACCACAACATAGACTTTTCCTTGAAAGGGTATATGAAATAAGATGAGATGAGAACAATGAAGCAGAGTTGAGAAGGCAAACTTTTCACTCTGCTTACTATCCCCAGGCACTTGCTATATACATTCATGCCTAAACAAAGTACATGCTCTCTCTCAGATGGTTAGGACCGGGAATGTCAGAGACCACAAAATTAGGACTCTATCAAATAAACATTAGTCTTTCCCCCTGAATATGATCTCAAGTCAGGTAAAATGTTGGAAAATACTTCATAAACCTTTTAAAGAAACGTACAAGGCACTAGGTCAAGTAAAGTCAACAGAGTGTTCAAGGGACAGGTTAAAAGAGGTCTGAGTTTTTTTTTTTTAAACTGTGTCTACCTAGCCCTAGCAGAGGGAAAACATCCGGAACCACATGAATAAATATACAACTTAAAGAATGTCCTTTGCCCAGCCAGTGTGGCTCAGTGGATTGAGCATCAGCCCATAGACTGATAGCTCCTGGTTTGATTCCCAGTCAGGGCATGGGCTCGATCCCCACTAGGGGGTGTGCAGAAGGCAGCCAATCGATGTTTCTCTCTCACATCGATGTTTCTATCTCTCTCCCCCATCCTCCCTCTCTTAAAAAACTGAAAATTAATTTAAAAAAACATTAAAAAATAATAATAAATTAAAAGAAAAAAAAAAAGAATGTCTCTTGAAGAAAGACTCTTTTTTTTTTGTACATACCCCTAGCGGGAACCGAACCCAGGACTCTGGTTCTCAGGCCAACGCTCCAACCGCTGAGCCAAACCGGCCAGGACTTGAAGAAAGACTATTAAAGACAAGGTCAGATGCCTTCTTGAAACAAAGGTCAAGCCAAGGAAAATTAAAATGAAAGGTCTTCTAGAATTCCATTGAGAGACATTTTACATTCTTTCAATTGATTTTACCTACTTTATTGAATGCAGACTGTTAATGACAAAACTGTCACTGCTTTTGAGGCACTAAAATATTAATATCTGGGCATTTTAGAGTAGTCACTAGATAAACTTTAAAATCTTTCATCTTGAAATTAGATTATGGCCTACATAGGAGATGTTCTTTTTAATTTTTTTTTTTTATTAATTTGAGAGAGCGAGGAAAGGAGAGGGAAAGAGAGATAGAAACACTGATGAGAGAGAATATCAACTGGCTGCCTCCTGCATGCCCCCCACTGGGGATTTGGTCCACAACCTGGGCATGTGCCCTGACCAGGAATCGAACGGGCGACCTCTTAGTGCATGGACTCGCACTCGAGAGTCTTCAGTCTGCAGGCTGACACTCTAACAGCTGAGCCAAACTGGCCAGGGAAGTCATTACTGTTCTAATTCTTCAACACTCATCTTCTTTTACTGAGTATCTGCCATCAGGCTACTATTTAGTTTGGGGTACTTTATTTTTAAAATGATATTCATAAACTGCAACATAATTAGCAAAGAAATCAAAATGATATGAGGTCTGTCCGGCTGATGTGACTCAGTGGATTGAGTGTCATCCCATGGACTGAGAGGTCCCGGTTCGATTCCTAGTCAGGGCACATGCCCAGGTTGTGGGCTTGATCCTCAGTAGGGGGTGTGCAGAAGGCAGCTGATCAATGTTTCTATCTCTCTCTCCCTTCTAACCTTTCTCTAAAACATCAATAAAAACATATTTAAAAAAAAATGATATGAAGTCTGTAGATACACCATGAGGAGTGTTTGAAGATATACGATGTAACATTTGGAAAAGGGAAAACTGTCAAGCAGGGCAATGGATGTATGTGCAGTAGCAGGGACTGTTTTTCTGAAACAGAAACAGACCTATTTCATGTGGCTGGAATATAGAACCAGAACCAACAGGAGTATTATAGGAAAAACGACCACTTAGAAAATGGCGGCGGAGTGAATGGAAGCTACACGGACTGTCTCCCAGGACCAAACTGGCATTACAACTAAAATAAAGACAAATCATCGGGAAAAAGCAACTGAAAAGCAGCTTGCGAGGACCATCTATCTAACCAGGGACACTGACTCGATCCTGGTAGGACTGCGGAGGCATGAAAGGGGTGCTGGGAGCTCACGGACAGCAGCAGTCTTAGCTGTGAGCAGTGCCCTCAGGGTTATACTCCCAAGCGGCTCCACAGCGCAGAGCCTGGACAGATGCTGAAATGCCCTAAGTCACTCACCTTCGGTTCCAGCAGAGGGAGGGCGGACTAGACTGGAACTGTGTGGGGACACTCGGTATTTGGAGGGTGCTCAGAGCTTTTGCTGAGTTGCAGCCACACAGGACTGTGGCCATCTGTTTTTTTGTGTGTTTTTTTATCCTCACCTGAGGACATTTTTCCATTTTTTGTTCAGGTAGAGTGGGAGGGAGAGAGAGGAAGAGAGAGAGAGAGAGAAACATCGACGTGAAAGGGACACATTGAACGGCTGCCACCCGCACGACCCACCAGGGCCAAGGACAAACTGCAACCGAGGTACGTGCCCTTAGAGGGAACCAAACCCGGGTCTCTCTGGACCTCAGGCCAATGCTCCAACCGCTGAGCCAAACCAGCCAGGGCGACTGTGGCCATCTTACTCCTTCACAGGACTCTGGGGAAAGGCGGCAGCCCCTCCCTCAGAGATTCAACCCAACCCAGGTGGGCCATTGAAATGCAAATTGAGGCTCATTAACAACCAGCACCTACCCCACCCTCAGGAAATCCCCTTACATTGAGCACCTGAAGGAGTTTTTCATTCAAATGAGAACCCGCCCTGGCCGGTTTGGCTCAGTGGTTGGAGCATCGGCCTGCGGTACAGAGAGACCCGGGTTCGGTTCCCGCTAAGGGCACGTACCTCGGTTGCAGTTTGTCCCCGGCCCTGGTCGGTCATGCGGGTGGCAGCCGCTCGATGTGTTCCTTCACGTCGATGTTTCTCTCTCTCTCTCTTCCTCTCTCTCCCTCCCGCTCTATCTGAACACAAAATGGAAAAATGTCCTCGGGTGAGGATAAAAAAACAAAACAAAACAAAACAAAAAAACAAATGAGAACCCAAGGCTCTTCAAGTAACTGCTACTGATAGCCTCCAGGCAAAAAGCTAGAGGATAACTGAATCATTCCTGGCCTAGCAACTCTAACCAGGAAACTAAGATTTGACGGTGGTGTTTAATGTGGGTCCTCCCTCGCTCACCCAAACCCAGGAGAGAGAGCCACACACAGCAGAACACCAACACCCACAAAAATAAATAAATAAATAAATAAATAAATAAATTTGGCAGGCTCCAAAGTCCCCTGTGGTAGCCAAAATGGTGAAACAAAGAAACAAATGCCAAATGAAAGACCAAGAGACCTCTACTGAAGATGAGATAAATGAGGAGCAGTTAAGCAAGCTAACAGAGCTAGAATTCAGAGCCATGATCTTGAGGACGCTCAACAGCATGAGTAAGGACATCAACACCATGAGTAAAGACATAGAAATGTTGAAAATCAACCAACTAGAAATTAAAAACCACCAAGAAGAAATGAAGAATGACATATCAGAAGTAAAGAACACATTGGGCCCTGGCCGGTTTGGCTCAGCAGTTAGAGCATCGGCCTGTGGTCCTGAGAGACCCAGGTTCAGTTCCCGATAAGGGCACGTACCTCGGTTGCAGTTTGTCCCCGGCCCTGGTCGGTTGTGCGGGTGGCAGC